TTGCAGTGAGCCGAGATCATGCCACTGCACCCCAGCCTGGATAACAGAGTGAGACTGTCTCAAAAAATAAAAATAAAATGTTTAGCTTCTTGATCATAGGTAGTCTCATATTAAAAGTTTTGGACCTCATTCAGATCCCTCTATTTTCCCAAAGACACGGTGAGTGCCCCACTCCTGATCTGGCCTCCCACAGGCAGAATACTACCCATACACCTTTCTCACCCTTCCCTCTCCCTCCCAATCACAATTTAACCACGTGCTTCCACCTTTCTTCAGGACAGGATAAACTTACCTAACTCATTCATTTGTATTAAGGTATTAGCACTAATAAGAGCTTACCAAATTATCTCCTCCCAGGTTTGCATTTTACCTTGGGACCTAACATAGTTAAGTAATATGGGCACTTTTGATCCCCAAAACTGGGCCAAGGACATTTGGCCTCTCCTGGCATCCCCATCACACCAACATAACAAAGGCCTACTATGCTTCTCTTGCAGAAATAAGTCTAATCTTAATTACATGAAGGTTGATATTTAACAAAACAATGGGGGAAAATTATTCACTATGAGGCTAGTCAGAATGATAATTGTCTTGCACAGTTTAGTGACTAATGATAATCTTAAGACCACATTTTTGTCTTTTTTTTTTTTGAGATGAAGTTTCACTCTTGTTACCCAGGCTGAAGTGCAATGGCGCGATCTCGGCTTACCGCAACCTCCACCTCCTGGGTTCAAGCAGTTCTCCTGCCTCAGCCTCCTGAGTAGCTGGGATTACAGACGTGTGCCACCATGCCCAGCTAAATTTTTGTATTTTTAGTAGAGACGGGGTTTCACCATGTTGACCAGGATGGTCATGATCTCTTGACCTCGTAATCCACTCGCCTCGGCCTCCCAAAGTGCTGGGATTATAGGAGTAAACCACCGTGCCTGGCCCTGTCTTAAATTTAATACAATGCTATGGGCATAAGCAAATAAATGTTTAAGTCATTCTTTAATACTACCACTGATTTTTAAGAAGAGATTATTTCATAGGCGTTTAATGGTGAATTTATATAAATTTCCTTCTGTGATCATTCCTGTGGCATTTGGGGGTTTTCATCCAAATAGACAAAATAAAACTTTATACTTGTGAAAAAGATCCCATTACATGTCACTTTTTAAAGCTTTTTATTTCCCCTACAAACTTGGTTTATCCTTCATTATTTTTCTAAAGATTAGGAGCCACATATTTAGGACATTTTAAAACATCCAAGGACCAGGCACAGTGGCTCATACCTGTAATCCCAGTACTTTGGGAGGCCAAGGCAGGTGAATCGCCTGAGGTCAGGAGTTTGAGACCAGCCTGGCCAACATGGTGAAACCCCATCTCTACTAAAAATGCAAAAATTAGCCAGATGTGGTGGCAGGTACCTGTAGTCTCAAATGCTCAGAAAGGTGAGACAGGAGAATCGCTTGAACCTTGGAGGCAAAGGCTGCAGTGAGCTGAGATTGTGGCTCTGCACTCCAGCCTAGGAGATAAGAGACTCTATCTCAAAAAAATCCGAGAAATTCATATCAACTATTCATTATGCTTAATTCTTTAAACACCAATTTCAAAACCAAAAGTAAAATAAAATAGATAGGGAATATCTACTTGATACATAACTTCCCTTCCCCTGAAGAGTCTCTCTCAGAAATGTGGTTTCCAAGGCTGGGTGCAGTGGCTCATGCCTGTAATCCCAACACTTTGTGAGGCCAAGGCGGGTGGACCATTTGAGCTCAAAAGTCCAAGACCACCCAGGGCAATATAGTAAAACTCCATCTCTACAAAAAAATACAAAAATTATCTGGGTGTAGTGGCATGTACATGTAGTCCCAGCTACTTGGGGGGCACAGATGGGAGGATTGCTGGAGCCTGGGAGGTCAAGGCTGCAGTGAACTAAGATCATGTCATGGCATTGCTGGGTGACAGAAAAAAAAAAAATGTGGTTTTTCTAGGAGTCAATTACTGGTTAGCTAAGAAAAGGGAGGCTTACAGATACTGTTTACCGATGACTAAATCAATGATTGCTACCACGATGTACCTTGGCCTAAAAAGAAGCAACCTTAAGATTTCAGAGAAAAGGAGGTTGATCATCCCAGCTCGTACACATGAAGAATTGTTAGCTCTTTTTATTGTATGTATACATCCTGAATAGACAGTTTGTGGTTTCCTTTAAATGATGCAATATCACACTCCATTGACGGCTGCCTGCTATGTAACTTTCTTGCCTTTTACAACCCAGGAGACTCACTGCAGGATTTCAATTTCCAAATGATTTCGCAAGATGTAAATAATCATGCAAACAACTATAGTTAGCCACTTACACTTTCCTCATTCTACTACTTAAAAAAAAATGGGTCTGAAAACATGTATAAAATATAAAAGTAAAACTTGGGTACTCCAATAATCTCTCCCTCATGAAAAATTTCTAGTATCTTTTTGGCATGGTTTCCTAAAACTTTAAGAGTTGAAATTTCCACCTCTAGTGCCATTCCTTTTCTCTTTCTCCTTCTGCCTTTCCAGATCCTTTTTCTCCCTAATATGAGACAGAGAAACTAAAATATTGCCATGTTTCTCAGAGTAATAGAATTAATTCTAACCTTTATAGCATGTGTCCTTAAATTGACTTTTACTTTAGTACAGAAGAAAAACTTGATTTAAGGGAACACCACTTATCTATTCTGAGTGAGGTTCTGTATTAATTGCTATAGAGGTTGTAAATATGAACAAAAGTCTGTTCTCGCCTTCAATGGGCTTTACAGGGTGATAGTGACTCTAAGGGAGATAATAATTATAAATGCACTGACTTTTCTTCTTACAGTTTAGGCAGTTTCCACAGGCAAAACCTCATTTGATCCTTAAAACATTCTTGTGAGGAAGACAGGACAGATACTATTTTCCAAACTCTACAAATGAGATAGAAATTTTAAAAATCCTGAAAAGATTGCAAATAACTAGACAGACAAATTGTTATAACTAAATAAATGTGTTCTAATCGTGTTTGTGTGTGTGTGTGTGTGTGTGTGTGTGTGTGTGTGTGTTCTGCTCTCACCACCTACCATCGCTTATCCTTGGAAACAAAGTACCTTGGCTTAGCAAAATATCTATCCTACTGATCTGTCATAATGTTTAAAATGTCATTTTAGAAATTCCATACTCTAGGTGTCTACAGGAGGTTCCATTAGAACAGTCTTAGAGAGAAATGAAAAAAATTCTAAACACTAATAATATATAAGTAGATAACTTTACTACGTAACTGAGCCCCTTAGAGCTCAGCTGGGGACAAGTATGGTGGCTCTTGCTTGTAAACCCAGCACTTTGGGAGGCCGAGGCACAAGGATTGCTTGAGGCCAGGAGTTTGAGACCAGCCTGGGTAATGTAGGGAGATTCCCACCCCTGCCAAACCCCCTCCCGTAACACACACATCTCTACAGAAAATGAATTAGCCAGAAGTCATGTCACATGCCTGTGGTTCTAGTTACACAAGCAGCTGAGGCAGGAGGATTGCTTGAGCGTGAGGGGTCAAGGCTGCAGTGAGCCCTGATCACACCACTTCACTCCAGTCTAACGACAGAGAGAGAGAGAGAGAGAGAGAGAGAGAGAGAGAGAGAGAGAGAGAGATTACAATAAAGTCCTGGACACAGCAGCCTGAGGATCCCTGTAAAACTGAGTACAGGGTGACGGTGGAGTGGATGTTTAATAGGAGAGAGAAACTGACTCTCTTCACAATTTTGCTTCCATTAATAACTAAACCATTTCAGTTTCCAGTAGGCCTATGTTGGAAACTCATCTCCAAGGTACAAGTTTCCCTGGCACACCACCAATTACATAATGGTCTTTTAAAAACAAGTCAACTTTGGCACCATCTACTCAGCTGGCATTTACCTTCCTTACCTGGTACCACCCTCATTCTTAGAATTAAAGAAAAAAGGCCGGGCGCGGTGACTCACGCCTGTAATCCCAACACTTTGGGAGGCCGAGGCGGGTTGATCTCGAGGTCAAGAGATGGAGACCATCCTGACCAACATAGTGAAACCCCGTCTCTACTAAAATACAAAAATTAGCTGGGTGTGATGGCGCGCACCTGTAGTCCCAGCTACTCGGGAGGCGGAGGCAGAATTGCTTGAACCCGGGAGGTTGCGGTGAGCCGAGATCGTGCCACTGCACTCCAAACTGGCGTCTAGCAACAGAGCAAGACTCTGTCTCAAAAAAAGCGGGGAGAGGGAGAGGGAGGAGGAGGGGGAAGGGGAGGGAGAGGGAGGAGGAGGGGGAAGGGGAGGGGGAGGAGGAGGAGGAAAGAAAAAAGGTGAATCCTAACGTCCCTTCTACTCACTTTCCTCTCTATTCAGTTACTAAGGCCACATCTTACATCTGCTGTTATTTTTTCCATACTACTCTCTCAACTCGTTTCTTTCATATTTGCGAGAAATTTAAGGTCGTTTGGGTTCCTCTCATTTAAAAAGTTCAACAGAAGTGTGTGGCAACACCTTAATCAAAGCTTAGGGCTAAGCTCTTTAGCGTTTCTTTACCCACTTCCTCCGCTCAATCCTTCATCTCCTAACCATTGAAATGAAGGCTACGAATATCTCCAGTTTTAGCACGGTGCCGGGCATGTAGGTGTTCAAACAAATGTTAAATGAATCTTACTAGAGAACAGCATTGTCTGTAAAACTGAAATTTCTTAAAAGTCGATTCCTAAAATTTAAAAAGCTCCTAAGTTTTTTAGTCTGCAATTACAATTCCCGAAGTCTTCTATTCATGAAAGACTGTACTACGAAATTCTAAAAATCGACATAAAGCGTAAAAAGCCACTCAGAGCTTCATGAAATTTACCATGTTCTGTCTTCTAATTCGTTCATAATCTTCTCTCAGGATACAAGGAGCAAAACTAGTTTGTGTTGTACCTTAGAATTGAGTAGTTACACACTCATTAGGTTTCAGAATCGTTAAAATTTTATCTTGTTTAGGAAACTGCTTACCTTGGAAGGGCAAATTGCCATTTCTCGCCATCTGGGCGCCAGGGACGCAAGGGAAGCCTCCCTAAACATCACTTCCACGCCCCCCATATTATGCTAAGGAACTTCTAGTTGACTCCTTAGGCATTTCAGCAGTGGTTTTGGCCGGTACTAGGAACTGAGGAGAGGTATAGAAAGGGAGCAAATGCACAGTCCCGGCCCCAAAGAGGTTACAATGCAAATAGACGCAGGCTCGGAACTCAGAACAAAAGCGGTGACTGCATAATAAGGCACTGCCGGGGGTGGGGGATGGGGAGCTGTACGCCGGTTGTTACTTCAGGAAAGCAGTTTCCAGGAGCTGAGAGTTTAAGCCAGACCTGAAAGAGGTTGATTTGTAATGATTTTCAGGAGGCCACTGGAGGCAGCGGCCAGGGTTTCCACTTAGGAGATCAACGTCTCCCGTGGTGGAAAAGTGGGAGGTCATACAGGGACTGGCTTCTAAGTGTCCAAAGGTCGACCTGGGGAAAGACTGATTTTGAGGTTTTACTAGGTAAGTTTGGGGGCATCATTGATGAAGGTGGGCAGGGAAGGAGGCTTTTTTTTCTTTTTAATGTTAGAGTAAAAACTTAGATTCGATGAGATGGGTGAAACACAAATAGGAAATTTTAAGGGGAAGAATGATTATGATTGTTATGTAAAAATAAACTTGCAATAGAGAGGTTCTGGAGCTCAGGAAATGAGCTAGAGCATGCTGTAATTAAGGCCTAGGTAGTGAGGATCAGGAATAAAATGGTAGCTGAGGAAATTTCAAAGTTGAATAAGCAGTAATAAGTATAAAAAAAAGCTAAACTACAAACATCTTCTCCTTAATTACTAACACTAGAAACGAGAATTTCTTGTCTCTTTTCTGCCCACTCCGCACCTCTTCCTAGCTTACATCATTGTATTCAAGGCACTTTATTAAGGCACTGTTCAGCACTCTCCACCTTATCCCTTACACAGCTTGCCTTTGCTTTTCTTCCCACTTCACTCGTTCTCTTCATTTATTCACATCATTGTAGTCCTTAAAAGATCCCTCCCAATTACTAGATCAGAGGGAGGCAAACTAAGACTCTTCGTATCTCCCAAATGACCTTCCAGGATGGCTTTATGGCATTATAATAGGAACGCAAGACTTTTTATTTTTCTTTTATTAATATTTTGCTTTCAAGGAATTACAGGAAAAACCCCGTTGCATGCCAGAAATACTTAAAGTTTAAATATTTCATCTTAAGAGGTGACTTCATGTAATGCTTTTAATGCATTTTAGAAATTCAGGTGGTGGGCAAAAGTACAAGACAGGAGTTAGATGTTTTGAGTGAGAGGAGTACACTGGGGCCATTATTGAATAAGAATTATTATGCACTGAAATATATAGGGAAAAAATTGAAATGAGTATTAAACTATGCAAATTTATCCCTTATCTTTAATCTTTATTTGCATGACTACATTTTAAGCAGTTGTAACCTTCATGTACATATTTGGTATTTTTTCAAATCTGAATTGATTAGACACTATTCCTATTTCGTTATCTATTTTATTAACATAAGAACTTCCTGTGTTACTATGTCAGATCTTTGCTATTTTGTTATCTATTTTGTTAATAAGAACTTCCTGTGTTACTATGTCAGATTTTTTTTTTTTAATGGAGTTTTGCTCTTATTGCCCAGGCTGGAGTGCAATGGCGCCATCTCGGCTTACTGCAACCTCTGCCTCCCGGGTTCAAGCGATTCTCCTGCCTCAGCCTCCAGAGGAGTTGGAATTACAGACTCCCACCACCACGCCCAGCTAATGTTTCATATTTTTAGTAGAGACCGGGTTTCATTACGTTGGCCAGGTTGGTCTCAAACTCGTGACCTCAGGCGATCCACCCGCCTCCGTCTCCCAAAGTGCTGGGATTACAGGCGTCAGCCACCACGCCCGGCCTCGAGTCAGATCTTAATTAGTCATTTCCTTTTAGTTAGAATCCCACCCCACTCCTCCCCGCCTTCAGTTTTTCAGTGTTTGGATAATATGCTGTGAATACTTTTGAGCACCCATTTCTTTATTCAGCTCATACCACTGAAAGATACTGCTCATAATAAAATTGTTGATGAAAAGATAGGAACCATTTTATAGTTTGTCTTACATATTGCAAAATTTTGCACTGTATTGATGTATTATTAACTTTGCATCTTTGTCTTCTTTTTAAGCTCTCCTTGGAGAGTTTTTACATTTTCAGTATACTCCACAGGGTGGCCAAAGTAGAACTGGCGCATCATTGAGTATAGGGTTCAGCTAAAAACAACAATCTGGCTCACAGTTGAGCACAAAGAATCCAATAAATATTAATGGATTAACTTTCAGGTACCTCAGTCTTGGCTTGCCTGGAAGATTTCTCCTCCTTAATCTATTTATTCTCTTTCTTTTTGGCATCCACTTCATTATTTAAATGGGCAATTTCGGGTTAAGCAGTTCTGGATAGCAGTTACTTTCCTGTGCCCGTTCTGGAACCTCTCTCGCCTTTTTGCTGTGCAAGGAAGCCCAAATCTCAGCCATCATCGTCACTAAAGTTACACCAAGGGTCTTCTTAAGAAGGACCGTTTTCTGTAAGAATTTCTATGCAAGTGAACTGGGGAAGGCTTTAAAGATACCGGAAGTGGCACACGTTTCTCCCAAACAATTCAACGCTGTGTAAATCACAGAAATTCCGGGAAGGACTAACGACGTCCGTGGATTATTTTGAGGCTCCTGGGCACACAGGGCACACTGGGTTTACCGTCCCCGGCCCCGACGGCCACCACAGGTGTGAAGCCCGCCCGGATAGGCAGCGCTTGCTGTCCCCGCAGAGCCGGCGAGGGGGCGGGGCCTGCCTCACGTCACCGCTGTCGTAGCCGCCGGACCGGGTCTCCGCGGCCGCCGAACGGGGGTACTGGGGGCCAGGGTGAGCGCCAAGATGGCCGCCCCGGCTCGGGATGGTAAGTGTGCTCGAGGGCGCGCGGCCGCGGCGATTGGCGGAGTGGGGCCCCCTGCGGGAGCGGAAGTGCGACGGCGGCCCCCGGGGCCGGGAGCCACCTAGCGGCGTGTTCCCGCCGCGCGGGGCGCTGGGGGGTCCTGAGGGAGGGGAAGACGGGGGCTGAGGGCGCGCAGAGGGGAGCCAGTCGAGGAGAGCGCGGCGGCGGCGGGTCCTGCGATTTTTGAATTGACACCCCTGGGAAGTTTCGGTGGGTTCTGCGGCGCTCCGGCCAGCGGCCGTCTCACGAGTGCCCGGAGATGCTGCGGCCAGGGGCAGCGGGCTGGGGAGAAGGGGCGCGGACGGCGGCTTGGGGGACGCGGAGTGGTTGGCGCGGGGCTGGCGCGGGCTGGGCGCTGTGTGGAGCACGCACTGCCCGGGTGCAGCCGCATCCTCCCCGCCGCTGGGATTATAGCGAGGTGATGCTCTAAGCCCCAGGGCGCTTCGGGAGGGCGGTTCTGGCGCTGGGTTTAGAAGAAATGCGCTTCCCCGCGACTTGCCCGCCTCTTCTCCATGGATTGGTCCCGGCGCTGCCGGCACCTGCTGCAGCTTAAGATCCCAGTGCTTGAAAATCAGCTTCCTAACACCATTCCCGATAGCCTTCGATGAGAAAGAAATGCCATGTGACTGAGTTCATCATGTGGGATAAGAAACCTGTCAGTGTGGGCGGAGGGGAACTTGTTAATATGTTAAATTTTAAAAGTAGGTAAGACACAATCCCCTGCCCCCGGAAAAAAAGAAAGTGAAACATAGTAATTGTTTAATATGCAAGTTTGAGCTGTTGAAAGAAAGTGAAACATAGTAATTGTTTCAAATGCAAGTTTCAGCTGGTGTTAAATTCTACTGATAGCTGGATAATTTCTTAGAGTTTTGATATTAGAAGCAAAACCATTTAGGAACTCTTGGGAAATTCACTTTTTCCCTCAGACCAACCCCCAAATCCTCCACTACACCTTTTAAATCTTAATTTTTGTATCTGGAAAAGAAACGGGGATTGTGAAATTAGCATGGAAATAAGACCTTCAGGTCCTGCTCTTGAATTCCTTATTATCTGTTAAGTAGCTGCCTGTGGGGGTGAAAGTGACTTTTGGGGCCTGGAATTCCATTTTGAGTTGTGTTCAAAACGAGCTTTTGGTGTAAACAAGGAAAAAGAATGGGCTGTTCACTGTGGTGAAGTTCGGAAAGCCAAATAGGAGTTAAGCACATGTCTATTTCATAATCTCAGTGAGATTCAATATTCAGTTACCTTGAAAGAGATGAAAGTTTGTATTCTTGGAACCCTAATCATTTTGTCCTTAATTCAGCATTTCGGGATATTTGAAAGAGCTTTTAAACGTTTTGGCACATGCAAGTTTTCTCTCTCCATTCTAGGGTTTTTAGTACTAGCCATTAGTTTTGCATATGTTCGATATCTAATTTTTTGGTCCAGTATTTATCACTGCGGACTATCCAAATTCAAATGTGGAGATATTCTAATATCGAAAAATTAGTCCGGTGCATACAGTTTAGAAAGTTGAAATGTTTTGACTACTTTGTATATCAGTCTTGCTTTTCTTCCCAAATGTTAATTGTTTGAGATTTTTTAGCTCAAAATGTTTAAGTGATAAGTGAACCCACAGTTAGTATAATATACAATGGTACACCTTTTGGAATACTTAAAATGGAAAATCTGTTGAAGATTTCGGTTAGATATTTGAAAGAAATTTTCCACCTAGTTGCCTTTCTCCTTTTTCTACAGACTTATCTTTTCTGTACTAAAAAGAAAGAAAGAGTCATACACTCAACCAAATTTCTCCTCTACACATTTGAATCTTACTATTACAGCCTTTTGGTTGGGCATAAGATAATTTTCTGCTCCTTGGGTTGTTTGAAGGCAGAGTCTGTGTTTTATTTATCTTTAGTACCTTACTGCTTAACATGGGGGGAAAACCTCTGTGAAAGTTTGCTGAATTGGGGTTTTGAATGGTAGAGGTACAAAAGTTTGTCTTCTTGGTAGCCCAAAAAAGAAAAAAAAAAAAACCGTGCTTTGAAGTTTTCTGTCCTTCCTGCAGTGTTAAGACAGAACAAACGTGGGTGCCAGATTCTAATGGAGTTGTCTGGTCCAGGGAGATTAGTGAGAGGCTGGGGCATGGGCTCAGGAGTATCAAGACAGGAAATAAATCATGTGCCTGAATAATTCTCTGAATTCAGTAATGGGGAACAGTTTTGCTATTAGACCCAGCCTAAATAGGTGACAAATAATTGAAATATATGAGGATTCTACAAATAATGGCTTTCTGGCTAAAAGATCATTGTAAAAGGTGTAATTGATATTCACAGCGATTTTAGGCACCACAGCAAACTTTATTAGGAAGAATTCATTTTTAATGGAGTTTTACACGTCATAGGAAAAAGCTATTTTGTAGTCTAATGATATACTTGTTAGGCTAGATCATAGATGTGCTAGAATGACAGAATCTAGGCATTTTATACATGGAATATTTGAATTCAGTTTTTGAGACCCACGGTAGGATGCTCAGTATTTTTCTGTTTCTCCCATTGTTATGAAGTTAGCTGCAGTAGATTGATGTGTAAATATGTTGATGTCTCACTAATGATAACTGTTTTGGAACAAAATTACTTGTTAAGTAGGGATGGGGTGAGAAATTCAAATAACCTGGAGGCAGAAATTGCTTTCAGGAGCTTTATCTTACAACGTGTTCAACTAGATTCAATCTCTGCTGCAGGAGAGGCATGTTAGAGACATGAGGAAGGCCCAAGGGAAAAGGGTGTCCTTTATTGTTTAATGAGTTTCAAGCAAGATGGGGGTAATTATAGATTCTAGATCTCTAAAGGAAGAAAGAATAACCAGGGCCTTCCTAGGGATAAAGGAAAGGAAATACATCATGATTGACATGGAGAGGTGCCAAAGCACATAATGGACATAATAGCAAACCTAAGAGAAGTAGGGAGGGTTTCAGAGCCCATTGTGTTCATTCGTTGAGTAATTTGTTCATTCAAAAATATTGAACCCCTTTCTGTGTACCAAGCACTATGCTTGACCCTTGGCGTTTTACAAACATTTCTTAAGAGGATAGAATACTATGGTGGTTCTGTGAAGTAAATGGAAAATGGAAAACTGCTTATAAGAGTGGGTAAGATTTACCCTAATTACTACAAACTATGGGTAAAGTTGTTTTCATTCTTATTGAAATGCATTGTGGTGGTTAGTAATTCCTAAGGCCTCCTTCCTATCGAAATTACCATTTCCTCCTATCTTTTATTATGGAAAATAACAAATCATACAACTTTTAATAGCCTGTAGGGGATATGTTTAGTTTATTTGTTACTGTTTAAAGAAAAATGTTTGTTACAGAAGTTATCTTCATTAAAATAAATAGTCAACATATTCTCCCTCTAGGAGATTTCAAGATTTTTTTTTAAATGAGATGCTTGCTGTGACACTTTTATTTTAAAATTTATTCTATTTTATGCCCAGTGGTACTTATATTTCTTCTTTCTTTAATAGAAGTAGAATGTATATGTGTTTGTGTAAAATATGCATGCCCATTTCTTATGAAAATAGTTTATATCCCGATTATGAAGAGTTTTAAAAATTAAACATTCACAGTAAGATTTGTTAAAAACATCTTAACAAAAGATGTTTGAAAAGTGGTTCATCATATATGAGAGTAGAAAAATATATGTTGTTCCAAATTTTAAGGCTTTTATGTGCCATGTTAAGAAGTTTAGATTTAACTTGTGGTCTTTCAAGACTTTAAACAATCTTAATGTTTATAAAATTGTGGATATTTTAGAAATAGCTTAATATTTATAAAATTGTGATTATAAGACACTAAGATACAAAATGTAAATACTGTATGATTATTTGACTAAGAATGAGCTGTGGAGGGGAAGCTTCTTCATAGTGAATGAATGTTATCTCTGTGTCTATTCAGATTTTAACATATAGATTCTTCTTTATTTTCTCATACTACACAGCTGTATACATTAATTCTTTTTAGAAATGCATTTTAGCCATTTCCCTCATTCTATCACTTTATTAAATAGTAGTTTAATTTGGCTGGGTTTTTTTCGTTTGTTTTTTGCTTTGCTTTTTTGTTTGTTTTTTGAGACAGAGTTTTGCTCTTGTTGCCCAGGCACTCACCGCAACCTCCACCTCCCAGGTTCAAGCGATTCTCCTGCCTCAGCCTCCCGAGTAGCTGGGATTACAGGTATGCAACATCACACTCAGCTAATTTTTTGCATTTTTAGTAGAGACGGGGTTTCTCCATGTTGGTCAGGCTGGTCTTGAACTCCCTACCTCAGATAATCTGCCTTCCGTGGCCTTCCAAAGTGCTGGGATTACAGGTGTGAACTATTGCACCCCACCTTATTAAAATATTTTTTAAAGAAGGAATCCGAAAATTGAGCTACTAATTATACCAATTACATCTATATTACATTATTCATACCATTGACCTTTGGTACCTGATACCCTCTTGTAAGAACCTCCAGGGCCTATAGCTGTATAGTCCCTTTCCATGCTTTCTTTCAATGTGTCTTAATAAACTGAGGTAGAAAGGGAGTGGCTGGCTGAAAAGTTTATTATGTCAAAGAAAATTAAAATTTACAGTAGAATGTTCATTTTTTAAGCAAAAAAATTTAGCTACCCTTCTGATTTTTCAGTGATTCTTGTAGCTTTCAAGTAGCTGGGGACTACAGGCATGTACTGCCACATATGGATTTTTAAAAATTATTTTAATAGTGATGAGATCTCACTATATTGCTGGGGGGAAAAATCCCTCTTTTTAAACTAGTGACAAGGTCTTGCTATGTTGCCCAGTTTGGAACTTACTGTTTCTTTTCTTTTCTTTCTTTTTCTTTTTTTTTTCTTTTTCTTTCTTTCTTTTCTGTTTCTTTTCTTTTCTTTCTTTCTTTTTCTTTTCTTTCTTTCTTTCTTTCTTTCTTTCTTTCTTTCTTTTCTTTTCTTTTCTTTTCTTTTTTTTGGCAGTGTCTGTCTGTCACCCAGGCTGGAATACAGTGGCATGATTCTGCTCACTGCAGCTTCTGCCTCCCAAGTTCAAGCAATTCTCCTGCCTCAGCCTCCAGAGTAGCTGGGACTACAGGCATGCACCACCATGCCCAGCTAATTTTTGTATTTTAGTAGAGACAGGGTTTCACCATATTGGCCAGGCTGGTCTCCACCCACCTCAGCCTCCCAAAGTGCTGGGATTATAGTTGTGGACCACCGTGCCCAGCAGGACTTACTGTTTTCAACCTCTGCTTTTTTTTGTTTGTTTGTTTTTTGAGACAGAGTCTTGCTCTGTCACCAAGGCCAGAGTAGAGGGCCACGATCTCGGCCCACTGCAACCTCCACCTCCCAGGTTCAAGCAATTCTCCTGCCTCAGCCTCCTGAGTAGCTGGGATTACAGGTGCATGCCACCATGCCCAACTAATGTATTTTTAGTAGAGATGGGATTTTACCATATTGGTCAAGCTAGTCTTGAACTCCTGACCTTGTGATTCGCCCACCTCAGCCTCCCAGTAGCTGAGAAGACAGGTGCCCACCACCATGGCTGGCTAATATTTATATTTTTAGGAGAGACAGGGTTTCCACCATGTTGGCTGGGCTTATCTCAAACTCCTCAGGTGATCCACCCACCTCAGCCTCCCAAAGTGCTGGGATTATGGGCATGAGCTACTGTGCCTGGCCTGTTTTCAATCTTGGATTCAAATATCATAAAGAGAATGACCTGCAGTTAATGCTAATTGGTTGCTCCAAGAATTTGGTAGCCTGAAACAGTGTGGCTATATATCTATAGTCTTCTTAAAGCCCTGAGAGAAGTTTTAGGTGAAAAGATGATGTTTGGGATATCGTCTTTTCTTGACCATAGGAGCCTACCCAACAATTAGGTGGCAGGGTAAGGAAGTGTGCACACATAAATAACACAAGGATTCACATTTGGCAAGTGGCATAATGTTGGCACAATCCAAAGTACTTTAAGAAATTAGAGAAGGCTGGGCATAGTGGCTCATTTCTATAATGCTAGCATTTTGGAAGACCAAGGCAGGATGATCACTTGAGGCCAGGAGTTTGAGACCAGCATGGGCAAAATGGTGAAATCCCATCTTTACAAAAAATATAAAAGTTAGCCAGGCATGGTGGCATCTGTCAGTAATCCCAGCTACTTGGGAGACTGAGGTGGGAGGATCATTTGAGCCTCCAACAACAGAGATTGCAATAAGCTGAGATCACACCACTGTCGTCCAGCCTGGGTGACAGAGTAAGACCCTGTGTCCAAAAAAAAAGTTAGAGGAGAAGGTATTATTATTATTATTTTTTTAAGATGAAGTTTCACTCTTGTTGCTCAGCCTGGAGTGCAATGGCCCAATCCTGGCTCACTACAATCTCTGCCTTGCAAGTGATTCTCATGCCTCAGTCTCCCAAGTAGCTGGGATTACAGGTGTGCACCACCATGCATGCCCAGCTGGTTTTGTATTTTTAGTAGAGATGGGGTTTCACCATGTTGGTCAGGCCGGTCTCAAAGTCCTGACCTCAGGTGATCCACCTGCCTCAGCCTACCAAAGTGCTGGGATTACAGGCGTTAGCCACTGTGCCCAGCTGAGAAGATATTATTTTCAACCAAAAAGACTTTATGAAGGAGTTGGACCTTGGAGAATGAAGATGAGTTCTGGAAATTAGCTGGGGCTATTTGGCTGGCATGAAGGGTATTAAGGCGAAGAGAGGTTAGAATCTGTGGAGAACTGCGAAAGCAAGACTAACAAATATATATGTTTTTATTGAAATATATACACAACTGCTATTATGAAATTAGTTGCAATCACATTTTTTAAATGAAACAGGAAATATCAGCATACATTATTCTTTTTTGTTTTTTGAAAACAGGGTCTTGCTCTGTTGCGAGGCTGCTGTGCAGTGGCACCATCATGGCTCGCTGCAGCCTCAACCTTCCCAGGCTCAGGTGATCCTCCCACCTCAGCCTCCTGAGTAGCTGGGTTTATAGACACATGCAACTATGCCAGGTAATTTTTGCATATTTTGTTTCACCATGTTGTCCAGGCTGGTCTTGAACTCCTGAGCTCAAGCAGTCTGCCCACCTTGGCCTTCCAAAGTGCTGGGATTTTGTATTCTGAGCATGAGCCACTGTGCCCAGCCAGAATTCATTATTCTTTTTTAAAAAAAAAACAACAGAGTTTCACTCTGTCGCCCAGGCTAGAGTGCAGTGGTGTGATCTCAACTCAATTAAACCTCCGCCTCCCAGGTTCAAGCAATTCTGCCTCAGCCTCCCAAGCAGCTGGGATTACAGGCATCTATCACTAACGCCTGGCTAATTTCTTGTGTTGTTAGTAGAGATGGGATTTCACCATGTTAGCCAGGCTGGTCTTGAACTCCTGACCTCAAGTGATCCACCTGTCTTGGTCCCCCAGAGTTCTGGGATTACAGGCGTGAGCCACCATGCCCGGCCCAGAATACATTATTCCTTTAAAGATTGTTTGTGAGGCTTTTGTTTCAGAGTGTGTGTTACTATTTACCAGTGTGTGAGGTAAAAATTTTTCAGTCTCAAAGTTCAAAAGCTGCTGCATTATTGGACTACAGGGCACCAATGGAGGATTTTTTTTTTTTTTTTTTTTTTTGAAACAGAGTTTCATTCTGGTTATCCAGGCTGGAGTGCAATGGTGTAATCTCGGCTTACCGCAACCTCCTCCTCCCGGGTTCAAGTGATTCTCCTTCCTCAGCCTCCCAAGTAGGTGGGATTACAGGCATGTGCCACCAACCCTGGCTAATTTTGTTTTTTGTTTTTTAGTTTTTAGTAGAGATGGGGTTTCTCCATGTTGGTCAGGCTGCTCTCGAACTCCTGACCTCAGGTGATTCACCTGCCGCGGCCTCCCAAAGTATTGGGATTACAGGGTTGAGCCACCACACCCAGCCCATTGGAGGATTTTAAGTAATAAGCGTTAAAGGCTCACACAGGCTGAGGGGAGCTGGGAATGGGTTGATATTGTGCCCATTAGGCACAGAGTTTGTTTTGCAAGATGGAGTTATGGAATGTGTAGTTGTGCAACAAAGTAAATGTAACCCACTACACTGTGCACTTAGAAATGGTTAAGATACATTTTGTTATGTGTATTTTACTACAATTTTAAAAAGATAATTTTTTTTTTTTTTTGAGATGGAGTTTTTTGCTCTTGTTTCCCAGTCTGGAGTGCAATGGCATGATCTCGGCTCACCACAACCTCTGCCTCCTGGGTTCAAGCAATTCTCCTGCCTCAGCCTCCCGAGTAGCTGGGATTACAGGCACACACCACCATGCCCAGCTAATTTTTTGTATTTTTAGTAGAGACGGGATTTCACCATGTTGACCAGGATGGTCTCAATCTCTTGACCTTGTGATCCACCCACCTCGGCCTCCCAAAGTGCTGGGATTATAGGCCTGAGCCACCGCGCCTGGCAAAACAAATTTTTTTAACTGCTATTTCTGTATGGTGAGATGGGGGAAATGTTTTTGTTCTCTTTCCCAATTTTTCTGTAATGAATATGTTTTGCTTGCTTTCTTTTCTTTTTTTTTTTTGATTAGTGTTTTGCTTTCATAATAAGGAAGTTAAAATTATATATATAATCAAAAAAGGAGTTAAAGGCTCAAAGCAAACTTGAAGGTTATTTGGTGGGATAGTATGGAGGAGAGAGTCCAGATGATGGGAGACAAGTTTGGAGGCTACCAAATTATTGTTTTCCAGGAACAATGTAATAAAATCTGTGAGATAGCTGTGGAAATGAAAAGTCATAAGACTTAGGGAACAATAACCCTAAGTAAACAGGAGTGGAAAAGATGGGAGGGAAGAGTAAAGAAAACCCTTAAGATTTTAGCATAGGTCCTAGAATGATAATATAGTATCCGTCAGAGGAAAAGCTAATTCTGAGAAGGTAAGATATATAGGTAAGCTGACTTTGGGTTGTGCCTGAGACTGGCTGAGAAAGGTTAGGGCTAAGGATAAAGCCTGGGTGGTCAGCTGTCTAGAACTGATGATCAAACCCCTGCTGGAACCTCTGTAGGATGAGTTCATTATCAGAAGAGGTTTGAAGATCTATAAAAATAGAACAGGAAGGTATTATGCTACGTGCTAAACCCTGGGTTGTATGTTACAAAGGGCTATAATTTGAGTAAATAGAAATTAATTTTGGGGGCTGGGTATAGTGGCTCATGCCTGTAAT